AAAAAAAACTCCTCTCGACGAATAGAAATATCCCAAGATTCATGTCCCATTAAAAGTCGTGCTGTAATTAGCAATGTTAGGCTACATGCATTCTCTTAAGTTAAATACTGTAGTACTTTTCTCAGTCAATGCCAACAACACCTATTTTCATGGGTACAGCCTGCTTTTTGAATGCTTTGGTTTCATCCAGTCGCATCCAGCGAGACTTAAAAAAACGCGAACCCTGCGGGAAAAAAGGGAGGATAAAAAGCCGCACTGTGATGCTGCACTGCTCTAATGGCAAACGCGCCAAAGAAATCCGCGTACCATGAGGCGCTTTGACTGTGAAAAGAATGGAAAGCAACCGTTTCACGGAGCAAACGTACAGCGCTGCTAGGAAGTGCCTGTAAACTTTTTTTTGCAGTCTAACAGTTGCCTTCAAAACCCTTTGAACTTCTTGTAGCTATAAAAAAATACGTGGCTACAGCTATCCTTTTTCAACTTTCAGTACCAGGTGTGGCACGCCACACTCGCTCTTCTTCAAGTTGACAATTGCGCTACAATTTGACAAGGCAAACGAAGTTGGGAGCGCACGCGATGCAAAAATGTCATCAAAAGAGGTTCCTCGCGAGGCTGACAACTCTATAAAAATCGTTTTGGTGAAAGCAGCAAAGTCTAAGCTTAGCCTACACGTGAAAAGTGACCTCAAAACCTCAAATCGAGAAGCCCTTCTTTCATGCGCTCGGACGAACTCGCGATTCCCCTCTTACCGCTGCAGACGCCATCCCGAATTCTAAAGATGAATTCCAAATGTTATAATTACAAGGGTTCCACAGCGATCTGCGTCTCTAAGGCTGGCTAGAACCGTTCCATTCGTCCAAATTTAAAGAGAAGGGTTTTGAAAAATGCATTTTTCGTCATTTTTGGGTTTTCTAAGTGGATTTTCGACGGCAGCGCCTTGGATAATCTCGAAACTTTTTCAAAGCTGAGATTTGCCGAGCCGCTGCCTTTAATAGTGTATCATAAAATTACTTCGCCTGATCCAGCAAGTTGTCATCTCTTTCATTGCTTTGTACAACGGTGAGATTTGGACTAAATACCCGTAGCATTTTGTCAAGTGAAGGCAGTTCCATCGCTGACACTCGATGTTTGCAAGAGTCCAGAATCCCTGAAGCAATCAGATGGATAAAGTCGAAGTAGTAGGACCAGCTCTCCAACCTGCTTGCAGCATCGAAAGGTTCGATTTACAAAATGTTGACAAATGTCCCAAATCTGCATAAATATCTACGGAAGACGGTCGAAGACTATCCGCAACCTCTTCGCCATCAGATGGTGGTACACGCGTGCAGGAATTTAATGAAGCATAGGAAAGAGGAAAGTCGATTGATTGTTCGGCATATTGATCAGCCTGAAAAATTTACTTTTAATAAAAAAATTGTCATTTTATGGGCAAATTTATAGATATGTGTTGGCGCATAACACGAAAAATACTGGAAGCAACTTACTTGTACTGTAATTAGATGCTGCCAAAGGTCGTAGAACTCCCTATCTTTGGTGAGCATCTCATCTATCCTGGTCACTTCTTTGTTAGCAGCATGGATCGTACAGAATAGATGAATAACGAAAAGAATAATCGTAAACATGGCAATGTCGCTTAGCGTATCATCGTTGTTCGGAGTCTGAAAGAAGCTATCAGTAAGGTTCGTTAGCATAATAAAACTTCCGAAGTTCCGAAAAGTTCAGGTAAAGTATGCAATTTTCGTTATTTCATGGTAGCATATGCAATTTCCATTATTTCATGGTAGCACTATCTCCATGAAATGCTGAGAGCCAAATAATGCAAGGAGAACAGACAGGGATAAGCCACTATAGTACAGCGTAGATTACTCATTCTACTAGCCTCGAAAAGACATCCGGCACTTGTCGGTGCCAAGAAAAAGTTTAAGAAGGCAGCTTGGCAGCTGTGAGAAAAACGCCATTAACGTGATATGGTGTGCAATGGTTGCTGGAATGTGATGTGATAGTTTGAAGAAGATAATGGTAACATGGAAAAACAATATTAGTGACGTGCGGTTATGATCTGGACGATATACGATACGAAGCGAAGATGTACACTGTAGACAGCATGATCCGATAGGATGTTTTCGTCTATTTTTCGTGCTGTTTAGACCGCTAATTCATCGACAAGGAAAGGAAGGTTGAT